TACTTGATTACTGTTTCCAACAGTAGCATATTACCAACACTACCATTACCAATGCTACCATTACCAACACTAACCATTACCAATSCTACCATTACCAACACTAACATAACCAACACCACACCATTATTCTTACCTGTCTGGTACRCTTGGTGCAAAGCAGCTTGTTGTTGTCATCACACAAACAARAGCTTCACTTCCAAGRTCTTGTATTTTTTGTTCAATGGCTTTTAAATCAGTGGTAAGTTCATCTCCATGGAGAACATTCTCAATGATGACAGGAATCAGACCTATATTGATTGACAGGTAAAGCTAAATATGTCTACTAATGTTGCTACAAACCAAATAGTTTGAATCAGAGCTGCAAAATACAATTTAAAAGGGAAAACATGTGTCTTATGACAATAAATATAATAATATTTTGTTTTTATCTATGTCTAACCTGCAGTAATCATACTCTTAAAGCAAGACTTCTGATCWATTCTTGGCCAGAGAACATACTTTGCTTCAGGTCGGCTTTGACGAAGGGTTAAAAGGACCATGACTAAACTCATACCAGTTGCTAATGGCAACACTGCACAGGATTTTGCTGAATTYACTCCTATATGGTTGATATTATTTTCAGTTTAGTTATAGTTCATTTTCTGAGATTATTGCATGCTACATGTACTGTCCTTACATWGATTGACTGATAAATTTGATGGTTATATAAAGTCTCGTTTAGTGATTTATTAGTTGGTTCTATATACATGGGTTGGTTGACTTGTTGGTAAATTGGAAATTTTGATTACATGTAGTACCTTGTAGTTGACTGACTGATCAATTGATTGATGGTTTGGTTGATAGGTTGAGTTATTATAGGTTGTTTGATTGAATGATAGGTTGGTTGGTGGGTTGATGGGTTGATTGGATGGTTGATGGATTGGTTACTAGTTGGTTTTCAGGTTGGTCGTTGGTCGTGTGATTAACCAGCCAGTTGTTTGATTGGTTGATGGGTTGATTGATTGAATGATAGGTTTGTTGATAGGTTGGTGTATGATTGGCTGGTTGATGGATTGGTTAGTTAGTTGACAGGTTAGTTTGTGTGTTCAATTGTTGATTAGTTGTTTGGATGTTTTATTTGCCAGTTGTTTGATTGGTTGACAGGTTGGTTGATTGATTGATAGGCTATCAGTCTGACAGAATAGATCATTTTAATCCAATGAAGGTAAATCTAAAAGTAGTACCTGCCAGTTTAATGACATCAAGCACCATTGAATTAGTCAACTTCATAAGAAGTGATGACCCTGCAGCTTTAGGCTGGATGGCTGTAATGTCCCCAGACCTTCCGATTCCATGAGCTAGTCTATAGTACAAAAGGAAGAGTGTTAGCACATCCGTTTCTGGTAGTTCGCTAACGATTCACCTCCAAGAGGAGGTCAAGGAGCGTTACTTAGCGAACTACCGGAAACAGATGCTTCAGAGGCTAACTTAATTATGGGTTATCTAAGAAACAAATGGTATGCCTATTTGTGTTGTACAAACCTGAAGTGTCTTCTAGCAACCATGGATGAAGCGATTCGACCTTCTCTTTCGCCAGCACCAACATTTCCTAAATAAATATGAAAAATATAAGCAATTAACCAATCAACAAACAACCAACCAAACAATTAAATTTTTAAATCAATCAATCAGTCAGTCAGTCAGTCAGTCACTCAATCTATCAATCAAATGATTGACCAATCTGACAAATTAATTTTATCAATCAATCAGTCAATCTTCTTGCCTGTGAAATTGTTGCTATCCATGATCGAAAGCTCTTGCAAAAGCATTTCAATCTTAGCATCATCCCATCCACGCTTTGGTAGCTTTTTCTGAAAAAGGAAGGCTAACAGCTTACAGAACAATTACTGCAAGAGTTTCTAGTTCTTAACAAAAATATGACTTAAATCCAATTTTGGTCACAACATGCACATGTCACAGTCCTTAACACTCACACAAACTCTCACTCAAAATATGCACTATACTACAAATTGCTCATGTAAATTTATGCATGCTTGCATCATGTCATACACGCATGCATGGGAAAATGTAACTAATATTGCTCAATTGCAAAACATGGACGAGCAAGGAGACACAAGGTCAAGGGTATAATGCTATGGACAGCACGTTTTTATCTTTATAACTATTTTCCTATTTTGATATTAAATAAAATGAAAAATAAAAAGATTTGCATGAAATCTCTGCAAACAGGTGAGGGCACATTACCACTTTCATTCAAAAGTCACTTGTTGATGGTTTTGTCTGAAACAACAAAATATTTGGCCTAAAACATCTATGAAAATAACGCTAAATATGCCACTTACGTGTTCTAAAAAGACTCTTATTTCATTCTCAATAGTTTTTCTTGCATTCTGTGCCTGGTTGACGTAGTTTGTGGGGATTAAACCACGACAAAGATTGAAATTTTGCTCGTTCATGGTGATGGAGTGAGCTCCTGGTAGCTTTATTTTGATGGCTGGTTCATGTTGGGAGAATTTACAAAATAAACAACGTCCAAAATAAAAATAAGTCAGATCTGTCCTTTTTGAGGAGTGTGAAAAATATATAAACTTCTCCGTTAGTAAAAAAGTCATCATACTCCCTTTCACCACGCATTTTTATGCAACGAAAATTAACTGTGTTTTTTGGGTTTATTTTATGAAGCATGGCAGGTCACAATGTCTTTTTCAATCTAAAATTCATTKATGAAAAAGAGTTCTAAACACCAACGCAAATATTCTCAAAGTATTTCCAATCCAAAAATATATTCTTCCTTCATTAATTTTCACTTTTTTAAAAGCTCGAATGATGTATTTTCGGTTTAAAGACATAAMATTTTATGATTAATAACTAACTTCTCCCTACTCAAAAGCGGGTTAGCTCGTATATGGAAATGAGGCTGGAAAGGCCAACGAAGAGGGGAAGAAGATCGAATTTGGCACTAAATGGCGATCTAAAATCCAAAGAATGGCCGTTCTTCMACAAGGCAGTGTAATATCAGCCACAGTAGAGCAATCTTTGGGAAACTGTCTTCTTGTGTCGTTTAAACATAGATCTAGAACGTTTCGGGGAGTGTTGTTTGACGAGAAAAACTCTGCTGTTTCGAGGTGAGATTTCAATGTGAAAGAAAGACAACTTGGGCCAGTTTCTGGATTTTGTAAAATGACTGCTCGCATTTCCTTAAATCATTAACCTTCAGCGCTAGAATAGACAACGCACTTTCTATATGTCATTGCTAATTTGTATGTTATTTTATATTTTTGTAGAATTACTGCTAACAGGCAATCTAATGACCCCAATCTGTTGGTCAACAAAAGTTCTCTTCCTCTGGGTACGGCCATCGTGTCTCCTTCAAGACAGCCATACTCAAGTTTAAGGAACAGAATTTACTACAACACTAATCCTAAACGAACTGGTAGTTCAAACTCAAGGAGTAATGGCTCTAGAAATGCGGAAAACAGGAGCAGTTCTGGTAGCAAGTCTCAYTCTGACTCAGTTGGCTCATTTGGGAAGGACAGTGMAAGCTCTCAGAGTCAAAAAAAGTCAGTTGTTGATCATGAAAGTGGTATAGAAAGCAGACATAGTGCTCGTTTACTTAGACAAAGATCTGGAAATACAACAGAGAATGGAAATAGTGCAAAAAGGAAGGCAGAGACTGAGTTGGTTAGTTCAAAGCCAGCCAAATCAAGATCCAGTGTGCAAGCAAGCAGTACTTCACTTGATAGTCAAATATCTAAAAGAAATAATTCCAAGAACCAGAGAAAAACAACAGTTAGTAGATCGAGCAGTGGAAAAGTTGAAATGGARACTTCTGAACCAAATAACAGTGTGGATTACTTGGAAAATACTGAGAAATCRGAGTGTGATGTGATTGAAGAGGACWGRACGGTCAAAATTGATGAGGACTCTGAATATAATGGACCATATTCTGTCAAACAGAACCTCTTTCRCCTTGATCACACAAGCAATGAAAGCAATGTTTTTAGCAARGATCCTGTTGATAATCAGAGCAATGTCATGAAAAAGGAAGATAACAACTTRGAYGAGAATGACACGGTGACTGCCTTTTTTGGGAGTCTAGGGTTAGGAAGGAAGGCCAGCACTGACAAAGATGATGCRAGTGTTCTRACTGATTCAGGTACAAGCTCTTCATCTTCTGAAAATCTTTTRYCACAACAGGAACACYCAGATGATAATGGAGTTGACTTTTACAACAAACACGAATTAGACTCCAATAGTGATGAAACAGCTGAAAAGGAAACAGTCACAAACAAACTAACTCCCCTTYCTCCCACTAAAAAGTCAGCAAGGATAAGTGCCAAGAGAGCTATTTTAGAGAAAAATATTGACAACTTCYGTGATGAAACTACCATTTGGAGCATTTGGGGAGGTTTACCACCTCAAAATAAAATCAAAAGCAAGCTTTCTTTYTCTGATGATGGAATACAAAATATGAATTCTCAAGAGGATAATGTTAACATGAGTCCTGATTCATTAAGTAGCACTGAACTCTCTCTTGCACAAGAAATGAATGAGCCTCAAGTTAATAAAGTCAAGGGCCCAAGAATTAAACAAACCCCAGTAAGAATTAAAAAACTTGCCACCCCTTCTGTCCAACCAGAAAAACAGGTATCYGTWGGTAATGTGGTGTGGGGAAAAGTACACGGTCATCCATGGTGGCCAGGTAGGGTCCTGGCAGTGAGTGGMAACATTGGTGAGGGTGACGACATCATTCAACATGCRCATGTAACCTGGTTTGGTTCTAACACAAGTTCGATTATGCCAGTGAATGAACTGCAACACTTCTTAGCAAATTTCAAAAGACGTTACAAAAAAGCTAAYAAGGGATGTTATCGWAAAGCAGTCAAGCAAGCTCAGGAAATGCTTCAAATAATGGGAGAAATCTAATACTGTTTATAAGTGACTTTTTTGTATAATGATGTTATCAAATTTGAATTCAATATTATATGAAATATTATGATATTTGTAAATATGTTACAAAATATTGTTGACTAAAGATTAGTTTAGATGTCTTCAAGAAAATAACATGAAATAATTCTATTAGTCATTGCAACAAAAATTTTCTCAAAACATGTCTTATTCTTGCAAAGAAAACTAATCAACTTGACCTTAAGAAATCTTCMTTGTTATCTTCATAAAGTCAAAATATAAATATCAAATTTCAGAAGACTGTGTTCATAATGGAAAGGAGCTCAAACCTTTACATATTTACTTAGTACTGCATTAGAAATGCAAAATTCTATGTTTATATAAACAATTTCACAATTTCTTTTCAAATAAGTAAAGGTTTATAATTTTAGGTTGTAAATACATTGTCCAAACCAGTTTACAAATTGTGCATTACCGATTATCAAATTTTCCTGATACATCTTTGCATTTAAACATGTCTGTGAGCAGATTTTATAAACCTGTTTCACACTTAAACCTAATATACTTCATTACTTGGTTTTTTTTTGCATGTTTTTCTTCATCTTTTTGGTATATGTCACATTATGCTTTGACTATAAAATTTTGTTTCACAGGATTGTGAAAATCATGATAATGATTGTATTATAATCAGGCATGAGACATCTTCAATTTTTAGACTTTACAAGTTGTCATTTTAAGAATCATTATCAAATCTATTCAGCAGCTCAGTTTTACATCTTTAKAATTTCTAAAAACTAAGAGGAAAATACTGAGAGAATGTTGACATCTTTCTAATAAAATTATTGTCAACGTTAGTTTAATGTGGCTTGTTTTGGAATGTTGTTAACCAAAATTCATATAAATACAGCATTGTCCACAGAAATATTATTGTTGGATTGTTACTATACATTTGTTGAAATAAAATAGTTTTAGATTTAGGTTGTTGGTGTTTTTATTGGGTTATGTATACAGGGTTTAGTTCCAAAAATGAATGCTTATTTATTTCCATCATAAAAAGGATATATATATTCTTTTGGGCATAGAGTTTGAATACAAAAAGGATTYTATAAAAAGGTATATTTCTGGCTTAGTAATGAAATAGTAAGTTGTTCATTAGTAACAAATTTTCACTGCAGAGTTGAAAGAAGGGCTATTACAGTACACAATACATCAGAATTTTCCTAGTTTTGTCTTGAATTTACATTTTAACTAACATGAAATACTTTCAAAATAACAGCAACAAAACAKAATGTGTTTTRAAGTACAATAACAAAACCAGCAACACACTTTGCAAGATACAGATTTTTGAACACAAATTATTGTCACCATAAGAACTAAGTATTAAATTATGCAGTGAAATCATCTTCACAGTCACTTGTGTTCTGAGTAGCCATTAATGGAATGTAACCTCAGGAAATTGCATTTTATATAAAGAAAATTTGAAAATAGCTTGGTTTTATGAATCATTTATTTRATAACATTTATATTCTAAGCATGAATTAAAAATTCTTGTTTCGTGCCAGCTGAAAAGCTTGCATAAATCGCTTTCAGTTTATGGATTAACGCAACAARATTTTATAGTTTATATCTTTTTAGATTTCATGGTTTTCAACTGCCAAAAATAATATTTTTCCAAATATAAAAACATTAGAGTACTATTATTCACTTGAAGATTAGGATCTTAATCTCATTATATTATTCATGTGGCAAGCAAACCCTTCGAGACTAAATTTAACAGCATTTATARTTACATTTTATTTTGATTTTGTTTGCTTTTGGCAGAAAATGAAACATGATAATAGATGGTATTCAAACCACTATCACGCCCAATAGTGCAAAGTGGAAGGCCTGTACAACACCAACCACCCCCTTCCCCCTGAGTGGAAAAATTAAAAAAAATGAAGGGAGGGGGGGGGAGGGTGGGTGGGCAATGGACAATGTTATGCATTGATTTATAAATTGATTAGAAATTCTCTACTGTTGAAAATTAACGGAATATCCTCCACTATTAGGGTCCTGTTGAACTTGAAAATTATTTGTTGACAGCCCAAATGGTTTAAGGAAAAGATTTCCAAGATCTTTGAGTTTTCCTGGAATACAAATGATAAAAGAAAAATAAGGTAAACAAGTCAACCACTACCAAACAGAGGATACAGAGGACAAAATATTTTAGTGAATAATACTCTTTCTCTCATTTAAACTTTTTCTATAATTATTATGATGATCATGATTGATGACTTTTTGCAGCCGCAAAAAGGAGGGAGGAGGGTACTCCCTCCAGACTTGGGTGGGGGTGAGCAGCTGGGACATCAAAACCCTTACCCTGTTCCAGAGTGAAATCGCTGGAAACTATACCCTGTTTCACAGTAAAATTATCAAGCACTAGCTTGCAGACCAAATTTTTACACTGTAAATATTTACCCAGCATCAATAATTCTGGAATTAACCTTTGACCCTGTTCCAGGGAAAAATCGTTGAAATAGATACCCTGTTCCAGAGTAAAATCACTGAAAACGATACCCTGGTTGCGGCACATGCCTGTATAGCAAATATAGGGGAGTAACCACCCCCCCTCCCCCCCACCCTCCCACCTCCCGGGTTGCCGACACAAGCAAAATGACAATGTTTGTACCTAGCATTTCTTCCTTCATTTTTTCATGCTTGATTTTTATTTGTTCTGGTAATCTCTGATAATAAAAGACAATAAGAGTATAATTCAGAATATAATTCCATATTTTGGTGTACACTCTATTAAATTATAACTCACCATAACAGCTTCTCTTGCTGTTACACATGATTTGTCAGTTTCCAAGACTTTTTGATAATCTGTAGAGATATTTAGTATATTATTATGAAGAATTGGATCATCTACTGTGAAGGAGTTATTCATTGGAATACCTAGAGTGCAAACACTAAAACCATGACAACTTTTATAGTAATTTTGCACTATTTAGCAGTATTTGATGTGCAGTTTTTGAATTCTAATAAGCTTGCCTAATATCAATTTATATCTTCACAATAATCAAAACAATCTATAAATCAACCAACCAACCAAAAAAAAAAAGAAGTCAAATAAAATTGAAATTGTTGAAAATCGACCTTATATAGATCTTATCAAATTTGTAATAAACTATTATAAAAAAAACAAAACAAAACAAAAAACAACCAACCAATCAATCCTTTTTCTACTCAAAAGGATTACATATAACCACAAAATGCATTACTTGAGATGTAGATTTTTTTCCCCTCTTCAATCAATTTATAACACATGTGTAAACAAATACTAATCCTTTACTGTACCTTCTAATGCRTCCTCTAACTTGTCTTCATGTTCATAGCACTGAGCACGTCTCAACCTTGCCTTTAGATAATCTGGGTTTAATTCTAAAGCTTTTGTTGAATCTCTAATTGCATCTTCATACATTTCCTAAAACAAAAATCCATGGATTTGAAATGAGTACTCTTAAGCATTGATCCATCCCATACCCTMAATTCCACATGAGCTGAATTCAAAGCAAAAAAGAGAATTCTAAACAGAAAACTGAAAAAGCGATAGACATAGTGCTATTTTTACACCAATCCAAATACTCAGTAGTTTGAATTTCGAACATAAACTGATTATAAATGTTATAACCAGATTCATCTCATCAATCATTATTTAATGTCATGCTGGCATCATGCTAAACTTAAGGAATAAGTTTATCAGTTTTGACAATGATAATGCCAATTTGATTGCATYTTATCAGACAAATTCCTTTACTTATGCATTCAAGTCTATTTCTAAGATTGACAGTTGAACCAGTGTTGTTCCAAATGTAATTGAATTGGGATGACCATTTGGTGCAGGGCTGCAGATTTGCATAATTTTTGAACTGAATGAAATGAAACGTTGTTTTTTTTGTACCATTCTCACTAAACATGCAGCTCTATTAGAGTAGAATATTGATTTTTCCTTTTGAAATTCTGGTGGACATGTCTTTATTGCTGTTGTATATAGTTCCCTAGCCTCTGGAAATTCTGAAAAAGAAGATYAACAACAGTCTCCTACAAATATCCCTGTACTATCTTAAGGTATATTAACCATGCCTTTGCACTGAAGGAAGATAGGTGAGCAATCATAGACATGCATGATAGAAGCCTTCCTTCATGACTACCATACACAGGTATCTATCATAGCAGACACACTGGTTGTTTTGTCATGCCTCAATACAAAGGCATGATTTCCTTCTAGATGCTGCAKCTACAACATAAGCATCAGCACAAAAAAGGATTGAAAAAGGGATTGCAAATGGATGGAGGAGACAAAATGGTGATTTCTTTGTTTATTCTTTTGTCTTTAATTAGCATATGCTTGGCCTTATGCTAATTGCTATGCTTATGTTGGTAAAGTGTAGGTTGTATGTTTGACTTTATTCCTTTGTTTTTCATTTGCTCTCGACTTCCGCTTCTGTTTACGTTGTGCTGTGAATCGTCATTAGACTTAATAACATATTAATTTCTGGTGGATTTACCTGCATTCTTAAAATATTCATTTCCTTTTCTTTTGTGMTCTTCAGCTAAAGACTTCCTTTCCTGTATAATATCATGTGATTAAGACATRATAACATTTACAAATGAATAGAAAGATCTCATGTACATGCTTGAGTGCTGTATAGCTCAAGGATGCAGGAATGACGTTGTTGAAAATCTTACCAATTTTTGCTCTTCCGTTAAGGGTTCACTAGGTTCTAAATAGGTATCTTCATCATCACCATGTTCTATATTTTTATCATTTCCTTCGTCTAATGAATTGTCTTTAATGTCTTCGTTATTTAAGCTTAATTTTTCTGTCACTTCCTCCATTGCATCTTCAAAATTTTCAGATTCACTTTCACTTAAATTAYAGTCCTTTGTTTCATCTTTGCTCTTTTCAAATAATCGACCCTCTTTCTCAGTATGAACTCTTTCAGCTGAGTTGTCATCCAGTTGTTTTATCTCTTCGTTTTCCATWTCTTTGCATTTTTCTTCTGACTTTTCTTCATTCTTCTTCTCGGACGCCATTTTGAAACTAATGGGCCGAGTTGCATTCTGGGATTGTAGTTTCTGGTATCGCGCTTCGTATCTTGGCGAGGGGGTCTAAGAACTAGTTTTTAGATGCTCATAAAAATCCACAATAATATTTTTGTGCTTTTTGAATTTATTTTCTTCGAGGTGGTGTACAAATTATTGCTCAAAATAGACAAGAAAGTTTACCAAGATGACGAAGAAGGATATTAGTTTAGCAGATATTTACCAGCTAGAAAGGTATTCCTTAAAAATCTTCGTTTCATTCTAGCTATAGCCAGAGCGCTGTCTGGTACTTATCTTTGACAACGAATTTGAGCCAACTGTAGTTGTTCTTTTGGTATTTCAGGTTTGGTAGTGGACCGAAGATGTTCTTCTTGTTCTTCTATGCTCCTATTGGTTTGGTTTTGGCTGTTTTTCGTCTTTTTTTAGCGCTCCAACTTCTACTAGTACTTTCATTTTTAAACAAAACATGGCTTTTTACTAGGTATGACTATATGATATGTGGATTGTACGAGCACAAATTGGCAAATGACAGTAATGAAAGAATGATGGCAGCTTCAGTCATCAGATGCTAATCATTTATTCATCACTATCAAATGCAAAGGACAATCAATGGTTGTTCATTAGACCATAAATGGCATTAAATTAGTGGCGATTATATAAAACAAACCCCAATGTCAGCCTATCAGCTTCATTGACTCATTGATTTAATCAGCAAACTGATCAATAGACAGTGGGCTTTAACTTTGGGGCTGATCTTTGTACACAATCAACATTCATGATGTCATTCTAGATTAAGAAATAATTTGCTCACTTTTAATTCTTTAGATTATTACTAAAAGTTTGTGGTGCTGTCCTTGGAATTATAGTTACGTCAGAGGGTATAGAAAACTTACAGAGAGAAAGAYTAAAGGTGCTGTATTAACTTGTCAAGAGATTTCTAATATTCTTGTAGCTTGTCGTTCAGTCTTTGTTGTTGTTTTTAGATACCTTGATGTAAATGACACCAGTCTCTTTTTTTCACACAGATAATTGTTAGCAACCATGTTACTATGATGGATAATGTTGCCATGGAAATTGCAACACCTTGCGTTATGGCAGTAAGTAATTATTATACTTAATTAATTAATAATTAACATGTATAGTGTATTCGTTATCAACTAACATAACAGTCACACAAATGGTTATAAAAAAGGTTGGTTCATTGCAGTTTTGCAGTTTTAAAATTTCCATTTATGCAAAATATGATGATTCCAAGAATCCATTCCCAATCCATTTCTATTGGTTGATTTTAAGATTAAATCTTACGATAAAGTTGTATTTATTTTCAGCCAAGAAGTGTTAGTGGTTGTTTGAAGTATCTGGAAACAACATTAAATGACGGCACTGGTGGAGTAAACATGAAGCAGGATGATTTTGAATCAAAACTTCCAGGAATTTTGGCAGCTGGTAAGTAACAAATGGCTGCGAAGAGGCTGATTACATACATGTCGATACTGACTAGACAATTCTTTTGTTARCCAGTCTTGTAAATTTACTATAGGAATAATATTTCAATTCTAGTTATGTTTTTTTTGTGTGTGTTTCAGATCCATCTGTTTCATTCTTGGGTTTTCCTGAAGAAGCCAACTCAAGTGAAAACAGTCCTGGCCTTCTCCAGTTTTCGTAAGTCATATCAATCTTAGTTGAGAACATGAAGTCTCTGCTTGCTGTRGTTAAATCTGCAGTGTCATTCACCAGTGTATAATTTGTTTGTTTAGGTCCTGGCCATTTGGGATTATGGACACTGTTGTTCCTGTAAGTAGACATGTGCAGATATTGAGTTTTAGTATAAACATACCAATGGTCTATCACTCATACTGCACTGTGATTGGCTACTCTACTAATGGTCTAATTTGTGATAGASCACTCSRGGGAAAATCAAAATGGCGGCATCTCATTAATAAATTATTTTAAGGATATTTCAATTTGTTTTCATTATTTGACCGATTAGTATGTTTATACTAAAACAATTAGACCTCTTGGCCTCATGGACTATGAGCTAATAGCCCATTTGGCCTCGCGAACTCGGCCTCATGGGCTATTAGCTCATAGTCCACTCGACCTCGAAGTCTAATTGTTAAATAGGGAAGGGGATGTTGAAGCTCTGATGCTCCTGGGTCAGTTCTTGTGGTTGGCAACTTGAAGTGTGTATACCATCCCTTAATGGCACATCATATATAATTTTTAAACCTGAGTTAAAAATTTATCTAGTTTTAGAGRCATTTACATATGATTTTGCCATGTACTGTGCATCAAGGTGTATTTTGTAAATCCGTAATTTATCATATTGTACTATAAATTATTATTACTTGTTATTTCTATTGCTCCAAGGATTTCCTCCAAGAACAATAGTTGTAAATTATTTGTCATAAAAATCATTACTGAAATTTATATTATTGAATGTTTTTAAACCAACTCAAGTTGTGCATTTTGACAGGCTCTTATCACTACAAGGAGGCTTCCATTRCCACCCATACACCATGTATGTATTATAAATTGTATAATGAATTATCATTGAGAGCAAGCATTTAAAATAATAATCATACAAGAATTCAGTACTGTTTAACTCTTTTTTTAATGTAACAAATATTATAAGATTACAGTCGTGTAAGAGCTGGCAGCTTGAATGCTTTACCTGTGTATATTTACCATTTACCAGAATCTGTTTTGTAAAAATGTTTTCGTGCGTAGGATTCATTATTTAAATACTCAGTTTTTTTCTGTTCTACATTGGTTATAATTTTCCGAGCTTTCAGACAACTTGTCAGAATCTGTTTTATTTTTTGATTATCATTCTTTATACTAAATCAGGATATTGTTAGCCTATTTTGATGATTTCTTAAATTATGTTTTCATTGTTTTTAGTCTGTAATGAGGAGTCATTGGATATCTGAAATATTTTGGTTTTTCTTTGTTCCATTTACACATTTTCATATAAGGTARTTRTTCTTCATTTTTMMATAYATTATCCTTGATTTTCTTATTCAATATCWAATTGCTTATGTCTGTAAGAAGAGAAGGGATTGTACCATCAAAATAGAAACCTAAGTAGGGTYGAATGGTCAAAATMGATGGAAAAAGGCATTGGGAAGTGAGGGACCTTGATTTTGTTGCAGGATCTAGATATGATAAACCACTGGCCTACAGTCTAAAGTAGAGTAAAAATTATTATTTTAACTTACAATTGTTTAATATTATAATATGCTAGGTTTTTACCATCCATCACTAAGCAAGAAGATCAAACCAAAGAACAATTTTGTAGGCATGTAGAAAAGGTCTGTATCTCATGAATTTACTGCATGTTTTTACTGAATTTTTAAAAAAGGGAATATTTTGATCATTTTCTTWAAGATCATGGCTTCAACATTGGGTGTCCAAACCACAATATACTCATCGCTAAATAAAGCAATATATGCAATAAAGCTAAGAAGAGATGAAGGTACCATTTGAAATGAAATGAAAACATGATCTCCAAATCAAATCTCAGTTTTTTCATTTCATTATGATATTACATATTATGATTCTTAATTTCATCTACTTTACATTTTCATTCATTCATTTTTTCTACCATTTTCATTTGTTCATTCATCTACCCATTCATTCATTTATCRATATAATAATAATCACCTAAACTTGCTCCATAAAATAAGGAAAGTTTCTAAAATGAGCTCCTGCAAATTGTCATTTCTTTGTCACTCTTTTAGAATTACGGCAACYGGGGCAAGATCAGACACAAAGACAAAARAGTTCACCAACRAGAAGAAAAAAACGAGTGAAAACTASRGAGAGCCRAGTTCAGGACACTCGTCTCAATAAAATGGCRACACAAGTCAAAGAAGTTCTTCCACAAGTTCCTTTAGAGGCAATTAAGAAGGACTTAGGTGTGTGATACTTAGTATTTTTATAACATATTTTGTGGCTCAATGTCTGTACTGTTTACTAGTATTTACTATTGCCTCAWTAACTCTAGTCACGCTGTAAGTATCTAACCACAACATTAATTTTAATGTCTTCCCCATCCACAGCGAATGCTGCATGTTGTCTATGGACATAATTTCAATGTTTTTTCAGCAATTTTCACTAATTTGCCTTATCATTTTTATCTTACTTCTAAGGTAAAACACAGTGCATAGATACAACTATTACCAATATCATAGAAGGAAGAGTGTCATATAAACCTGAAGACACGGCACCAAAACCATCAACTCCAAAAGAACCTTGTGCTTCCTCCTCTGTGAGTTCCTTATAAGTCTCTGGGTGACTCTTGAATTAGGGAATGTGCTCACTCCAAGTATTACATAAATGTAGAATCTTAAAAGAGGCATTTGAAAAGATATGTGACTTATTGCACTTGTTTAGTATGCCCTTTGAATAGAGMCATTGACTTTAACTTCATGTGTGAAATTGTACTGAGAGAAGTCATACTAGCTTGTCTCATGGCACTGCAGCTGTGGCAATGACACTCTCTTTTAAAAATTAAACTGTGGAACTTAATTTGTTCTCTCAAAATAAAATAATACAGAAGTTCTTCTAAGGAAGTTACCCTAGCCTGTACAATGTTTGCAATGGCTTTTGCACAATCAAGAAAGTACATGTAGCTGAAAACCAAATTCTTTTTTCAGTCACCACCCAAAGCTACCAATGCTGCAACGTCATTCTCATCTTCATCAGAAATAAGYCACCAGTCATTTGAGGAGAGGAAAAGAAATATGTTGGAGGAGGCAAGAAGGTGAATTAAGTTTATCTGATATCAA